GCCCCTCTTTCCTATTCCTATCACCTTTCTGTTTTGCATGTTGGCAACTCTCAAGAGTGCAAATTTTATACCTAAAGTCCAAGACTCCATAATTTAAAACAAACAAATAGCATTCCAAGGGGAAAAAAAAAAAAAAAAAAAGCTTCTGAGAGACACAGTTTATGTAGGAGGGCTAGAAGACTGACATCAGAATCAGGTATCACGCTGCAATCCAGTCAGCCCTGACACATTTCCACATAAAGTGGGCCATGGAAGCTGGAGAAGAGCCAGTACAGCAGAAGACCTTCAGGGTTATTTTGCATAGGACTATGCAAATTCTGCACGCAGCCGAGGGCTTGAGATCAGAGCTATTTGCTTATCAACTTTCACCAGCACTAAAACTCACATAACTAACCTTAGAAGACAGCAAGTTATTCTGAACAATATTGCTGAACAAGCAGTTGAATAAAATCAATTACTTGCCCAAAGGATTTTTAATACATACATTTCCTTAATTATTGTCAGATATGCAGGTCAACAAAAAGGAAGATTGATTTCTCGATAAACAGAATAACTGTGATGTTAAAATGTTTTGTGGAAAGACAAATTGTGAATTAAAACATTTTAATGCTCATTTTAGTGAAATGATGGGAACATTCAGGAAGCACTTGCTGTCAAGAAACTGTACACATCCCCATCTGCCCGTCGATGGCATAATGCAACAACCTCTCCAGTCTTCATCTTCTTATCACTTACACCTTGCCGATCAGGATGCATTCCTTCTTGCCCAGCCGTATATTTGTACTGATTAATGTTATGCTAATGTAATGACTATGCTGTTTGCATCAGCAATGTTAGAACAAATTGACATTAGCTGGAAAAGTCAAGTCAGCCTTATTTTTTGTGACCCAGTGCTGTCATCTCATCTGCTCACTGATACATGTTGTGCCCCAAACTGGCCCTCAGCACTCAAAAGGGAAAGTGACCCCAGACCTGTCCCTGTAGAGGATCAGGGAGGTGAAATAACATGTTTTAGCTGTGTAACAGGCTCATTTCTGTAATGTCAAAGAACTCTGCAGTGCCTAAAGCAATGCAACTAACAACCATCATTTGTTGTTTCCTCTCCCCATCCCTCAGGAGAGAAATTTGTGCCATTCAGTGCCTTGCTTTGCTAAGGAGTTTTGGTCTGTTTTGTGGTAGATTTTCTTTCGCGCTTGTGTGGGGAAGAGAGAAATAGGTTATGTTTTAGGATTTTGGTTTTCTTAGTGCTTCAGCAGAGGAGGCAGAAGAAGAATCAAGAAAGCACATCAAGAAAGTGTCACCTTGACCATGAAGAAAGTGGTCGATATCTGCAGTGGAGCTCAGTTCTTGGGAGAAACTGCACACAAGCTCCTTTCCCTCCAAGTCCTCTCCCACAAAACACTTGCTAGGAAATCTGCATTTCCAGGGTCAGTCCATCTATATCAGTGTGTGTATGTATATATGTATACATAGGCCTTCCGCTAACAAGAGGAAGGGAAGCCCCATATGAAAGGATCATAACCCACCCATGCCTTGTGAAAGCACGGTAAATGCAAAGCCCTTGTATCCACACTGTGGCTATGTGTGCCTTTGTACTGCAAAAGTTAAATATACTTTCCAAAAAAATACAGACAGGATTAAGGAAGACCTCACCCCTAAAGACACCAGAATTCAGCATAGATTGAAAGAAATTCCTGTGAAAGGAAAGCTGCTGAAAGGAGAGCAGACATTACAGGAAGTATGCATGTATATATACTATGTATACCATGTGCAACCACGTGCAACCGTGTGTATGGTATACCCATCTACATTCTAGTTTAAATTTCTAGTAGCAAATTTTAGGAAAAAATAAATGCAGAACACCAAAGCTGCTACAGAGAGGAGCAAACAATGAATTAAATTCAATTCCTCACAGAATAGTTTATTCTGTAAAACATAATACCACAGTGTCTGTTGGCTTCTTAATTAAGTCTTAACTACCAATTGCCCACTAGTAACTTCAAAATTTTACTTCTGGTTTTTTTGAGATGTTCATGATTTTCTACCACGATGGTAGAAGAGTTACCAAAATGCTCACCAATGAAGTTTTTCCCATTGTATTCCTGTTGTCATTTATGGTTCGTTCAACATCAGAAATTTATTCTTAAGCACTTCCTCACTTGCATTATCATAGATTATCATAGATAATGCAAGACAAGTTCCAAGGACAGCATTAAGTGTCTGAAACAGGTAATGAATACTCTGTCTAGACAGGAGATGAAAACAACACTGTTCCTCTTCTCTCAGTTCTGCCAGCTGCTAACAGCTTTGATAGTAAGCTGAATATTTGTAAATGCCTGCATCTCTTACATTAAGAAAAAATTTAATTAGCCTTGTCTAAACAGAGGACAAACTTAAATCCTACCAACGTCTATTTAAGGATTAAATCCCCATTCTACTGATAGGTTAATAGTGAGCAAAGCCAGTGGCTATTTCACATTCTTATCTGGCACACAGAAAAAACAGTAAGCTACAGATAACACTGTTCATGTGATACTCACCTGGTGTAGCTTCTGCCAAAATTCAGGTCCGTCCTCCATTTTTCTTAAGCTTGGTGGAATGTACCAAAAGCAAACGTTTGCATACTCTGGCTAAACAAGAGAACAAGTGATTGCTTACAAGATGTAACAAATGGGACAGAAATACATATTATAGCTTGTCAAAAAGTTCTGGTTTATTTTTTTGGGGGAAAAAAAAGCCTTTGCGTTTATACCATTTTCATTAAAACTTCCTTCTCCAACTCACCTTTTGTTTCCCTTTTTTGAGACTAAAAATAGTTTTTGTATCATCCACTTCTCTTCCTGCTGCCAGAAAAAAGAAACCTGTTGGAGTTCCTTTTTCCTTTCTTCTTCCTATATACACATTAAACTCTGCTTTGCTCACTAAAAACTTTGGTAAGGAAAAAAGTATAAGAGAGGCATAGAGAGGTAACTTACAGTTTTCAAAATTGAAGCAACTTTAAAGAGAAGAATAGTTTTTCTTTTTAGTGGTTTTTTTTAAAATGGAAATTTCCTATGATGCATTTTACACAAAACACACAAACTCAATTTTTGTCACCATTTTAACACTTGCACACCTGTACATTTTTCTACTGAACAATGCCAATCTCCTTTTATATCATATATCATACGGCACACTACACAGTCCTGGACTTAATGCTGGCTTTCTCAATTTCCACATTTTACAGGAATCTCAGGACCCCTTGCAGGGTATGTGCCATATCCTGGATATATCTTATCCAATATCTAAGCAGGCCTTTCAAGCAAAGACTGAGACTCTGCCTCTCTGCTTCCCTCCAGAGAAATTTTGCCTTTAAACTCAGCAGAGAGTTAGCTGCAAGACTCCCACCAAGAATGCATTCACCACACATTATAAAATAAGGCATTTTGTGCTTATGAGGTTTCTGTTTCATACATGATTGAGAAAATGTTCCCAGCAGACCAGTCCAGGGTCTCTCTACACTTCCTGCAAATTTGGGACAGAAGTTAGGTTAGTTGTTGGTTTGGTTTTTGGGTTTGGTTTTTTTTCACCTGTACAGGTAGCAGTAGCACAAGGAATAGATGTGCCTTCTAATCCCATCTAATACTACCCATAAAACCACTCAGTCAATCTTGACCTACATTATTTGCAACACAGTATTTAACTGGAGTATAGATTATAACATGGATTATAAACTCACACACCCCTCTCCCCTCCCACACGCCATCCTCATTAGTACTGATTGAAAGGAAAAAAAAGAAGTTAATAGGAAGCTTGGTAGCTGGGTCACACCATCTCTTTGCCCCACTGTGAATGCGGCTATTACAATCCCAGGCAGTCTCCTGAACAAGGAGAGCCCACCAGCTGAGACCTGTTCTTTCATGAAAGGGCACTGGGAACTGCTCATATCATTTTCTGCCTCGCTTCAAAGAATGCATTAAATACAATTTAATCATCAAGAAGAATATCGTTGTCAGCAGGAACAGAGCTGCAAACCTGCCACCTGCTGCCACTGAATGAAATAAAGCTCAGCTCTTAAAGTCCCATTTCTTTCCCCAAAGAGCATGCATTGAGTACACACATAAACACAGACCCTGAAAAGGCAGCGACTTCCTCATGAGCGCAAGCACTGGCTTGCTGTTACAAGGTTTATTTAAAACTGTTTAAAATCAGATGGCAGGAGTAGACAGATGGCATATATTACCATATTGCCATTGCCTATATTGCCTTCTTTATTATCTCAGTTTCCTTTCACACATGAAATACATCATCCCCCTCTGAAAATACCATTCATCCTAGAAAAACTTAACTACCCCCAGCCATGCGTCACTATTTCTGGTTATCTTGTCACAGCTCTTATCCAAGCAGGCAAGCGATTATACCACAGAAGAGTTCAAGATGACTGAAGCGCGAGTGGCATT